AACAATTTGCCCCTTTTGTGCACAATCATTCCAAGACATCACTCAGCCAGAATCAAGCTTCACGAAAAGCTAAACCATGCAGGCAGGGTTGTTGCTTATGTGCACTGGAATGTATTAGCGAGAGCCCTTTGTCCAGGGCTCCAGCTCAGTAACCGGTGTGTCATAGACTACATCAATGGCCATCATATTTTATTCAGTGGACTTTGTACTATGTAAATTCAGGCATACCCACAGGTAAAGATATGGTATCCTTTTTTACAGGTGGAGTCTAGGCACCTGATGCACTCTTAATCTTGTGTTTGTTTATGCTTACTTATTACCTAGGGTTTTCAAGTAACTATGGTGTTGATGTGCTGTGCTATGAAATGCATGCATGTGCACTCTTTGACCATTTATAATGTGATGTCCTTTTTACACCACATTCAAATTTCCTATTTCAGGCATCACTTTTGTTCCTTCTCTATCATCTTGGTGGGGCTGTAACTCACCATGAAGAGGACCTGCCAGGGTAGGATATCATTATTTTGTTTGTCCCTTTTTTTCGTTCCAAACATTATTTTCCTTTTTCATAATTTTGGAATCGATGTAACATTCTGGCTTTTTTTTCTTATTTCAAGAAACCTATTTCCCCTCCAGAAATTCACCTCCTAAAACCATGAAAAATAAACAAATAACCCAGGCTGTGGTGAAAACAAAAAGGGCAAAAAGCATTTTTTTTTCTGGTATCTCAGTCATGAAGAGTTTTATCTGTTGAGAGCCCTTTCCTAGATCATTACGAGCTCCTATTTCCAGCATATCTCAAAAGCCTCCTTTGTAGTCAAAACTGCCAAGAAACTGAGTCACCTCCATTAGAAACGTCAGCAGCAAGTAAGACTTCCGTCCCTCCTTACTGAGACTATGGGAGAACCATTTCAGTGCTAAAGGCTGTACCGTGGGAGGAGAGCTGGTTAGGTGCCAGCAGGCGGTTCAGGTTCCCACCTTGAAAGCAAATTTTCCCTCAGAACGAGGAATGACCTACAGAGTGAGGTATAACTTGGAGGACATGTGGTATTTCTAAAGGGAATGGTGCCAGGAAAGCTGTTTAATTCTCATTTGGCTTCCTGATGGTCTCAAGAAATAGCACAGAAAATTTAAGTCTTTATTCTGAACATCATTTCTGAGGGCTCTTTATTAGATTCCTACTGCACATTTTATGCTTTTCTGGTAAATATCTACAGTGCAAAATTGTCCCATGTGATGAGTGATGAACACTGACAATAACTCGGATATTGGTAGTGATTCTAGATTTGCTGATGACTTGAGTTTTTGCAGAGCTAGAATATTGGAAGTGTTCTGAAATGCACTTGTGTCATCCAGGTTGCATCCACTCTCTTTCTTGCTAAACCTCTGTGAAAACTCCTGATATGTATTTGTCAGCGAAGCAGTCAGATTCTTTGAAGATGACAAGAAGCAGGGATTTCCTTTATAAGGTACTTAACCTACATTTCAACCCTATTAAACAAGCACAGAAAATCTGTTACTATCCTCTTCCTCATTTTTTATTTAAGTCAGTGACAGCAGTGCTATCGCTTGTGCCCCAAGTCATGTTATATTGACAAAGAGGATGGAACGCTATGTTCATTTTCCTCAGGGGCATCTCTTAGACGTGTATGCTGACTTCCTTATTGATTGGTACCAGTCAATATGTAATCAGAAACATCAGGATTGTCTCTCTCTTAGTCTGTAACAGATCATTTCCCCAGAGTACTCTACTTGCTATAGGAGAACAGGGATTTAGTTGTTAGGTATTTATTTTTGGTTTTAAACATGCATTTTACTGTCATGGAGGGAGAAGGAATGGCTCTGACTTAGTAAAATAAATGTTCATAAAATGGACTTCAGGAGAAATGTATCTTTGTTTTCTAAAATTCCCAGAGTGTGGCAATCAGAAAGGCTGAGTGTTTCATCGCAAGTAAGGTGTGTCTCAAACTCCTTTTGACAGATGACGGGAGAGATAAAGCTCAGGCTTTCAGGGAGGTTTTGAGAAAACAAGGTAAATACTGTTCAAAGAAAGCTGCCTTTTTTCTTTTCTTTTTTTTTTTTTTTTCTCTTTAAGAAAAAAAGGAAAAAAAAAGAACTTCTGAGAGTTTCAGGGATAAAAATTATTTCTGGCTGGAGTGATTTAATAGCCAGAAAAAAGAAATCCTTTCCAATCTGATGTTTAATACTTAACCAGAAACCTCAAAATTCTCTTCCTTGTGCTAGACTTTTCTGCACTGAATAAGAACATCTTACTAAAAACTTGTTAATTGGTGTGGTACTAAATGCAAGTTAGTACAGGTCTCTTACAGTTCAAGTTCTGCCAGTGTCCTATCTTCAAGTTTTCCCGACTGTGTTACAAAACAACTCCAGAAACACTTCTACACCCTGTCTATTCAAAACACAGTGATTATGAATGCTAGTATCATGAGCCTGTCCTCATATTCCTACAGAACGCACGGCAGTGGTAAGTGATAATGCAAACTAATGCGCATCAAGACCCATTTGGTAGTATCAGAAACAGTCATTTTGCAGTAAGGGCTCTTCTTAATCGAAAGAGAAGAAACCCATCTGAAATACATTTTTCATAGATAAAAAAATCTCCATTGTGCTATTACTTATTCATTCTCAACCTGCTAAATGCAGTCAAGCACTGATTTTAAAGTTTCTAGTGAAAAGTCTTACTTTTGGACAGTGAGAGAGCCTTTCTATCAAACAAAAAATAGATGCAATCTAAAGCGTCCCTTAGTTTTGATCCAGAACCCCATTGTACATGAATGTATCCTATCACTGACACCAAGTCCTCAGGGAAGAACCAATTAACGGAGGCATTTGTACAAATACTTTTAGCCAACCTGTCCTCCCATGAGTGTTTTAATGCTTTTAAGAAAATTGCTCTGTAGCCTTGCATGAAACAACATTGAGAGGAAAAAAAGTAATAGTCCTTCATCTTACTGTTTTCTTTTCAGGCAAGGGAGGGATTTCACGAACCTGGTAGTAGCCTGAACACTTTTGCAGATTAGCTGAGGGGGTGGAGGTATGAAGTGGATAGACGATTTCATCAGCCTTGCTGTCCTGATTTCAGAACAGTGCTCTGGCAATCACAGGATCTGCTCTTTGCAGAAAGACTGAAGCTGCAGTCGTGATGGTTTTGAAGTCCAAAATGTCAAATACCTTTCCTTAAGTAGCCTGAGACACAAACCTCTATCTTTAGAAGGAAAGCAGAGGAGGTTTATTTTCCAGCCAATTGTACAGCTCTCCTCTCATTGCTAAATTAACTCTGAACTAACCTAAAGCACCATGAGAACATGCTTCCAAGCCATGTAATTGACAATGCAAGGACTGATCCATCGAGGGGCACAAATCTTTCCACACTGAAGGGAAAAACAGTACTCCTGATTTTCCAACACACTGGTCATAGTTAAAAGGGGCTTACTTATGCTTTCCCTAAATTAAGTACATCACCTTTTACAGTTTACAGTTACATACCTGGGATTGTTGTTGTTTATGCATAGCTGGAGATACGATACATAATTTTTTCAATGTGATTATGAAGGCTTTAAAGAAGGGAACAGTATCTTCAGGGAGCTACTAAACTCACAACCTATGTAATTCCTTTTAAAATGCTGGTTTCTCCTTACACAGAGCAATAATGTTCTGTTATTTGAGTTACTGTGCTTCTTGTGTACTGGTGTGCATTGAATTTATCACGGTGGTAGAAAAGCTTTAGTACAAAAACCTGGTTTTCCTTAAAAAAACAAATCAAACCAAATAAAACAACACATTTCCCCCCCTCCCCAAAAAAACCCTCAAACCAAACAAAAATCAAGCCCCAACCCTTTATTCATAGTTCTTGTAGCTGTGATAACTACTTTGAAAATATGAGCCAGACAGTCAAAAAACTGGTGAGTTCAAAGACCTCTTGAAACAATAGCACTAAGAGGTATGAAATACTGCATACTTCTTAAGGGAGTGTTAATTCTTAATTCTTAACTCCTAAACACAAGTTTAAGGGACATAAAGTAAGGGAAAAAAAATTAAATGTACTACCAAAATAAAAGCATACTGTCATGGTTTAGCCCCAGCTGCCAGCTAAACCCCACACAGCCACGTTTTGCCCCAGTGGAATAAGGGAGAGAATCAGAAAGGAGAAAGTGAGAAAAAGACTGAGATAAAGACAGTTTAACAGGTAAAGCAAAGCCATGTATGCAAGCAAATCAAACTAAGGAATTCATTCACTACTTCCCATGGTGAGGCAGGTGCTCAGCCATCTCCCGGAAAGCAAGGCTCCATCGCACGTAACATTACAACATCACTTTGAATGTCCCCTTGCTTCCTTCTTCTTCCCCCGGCTTTAAGTGCTGAGCACAATGTCATAAAGTGTGGAACATCCCTTTGGTCAGTTGAGCTCAGCTGTCCCATCTGTGTCCCCTCCCAGGTTCTTGTGCACCCCCAGCCTACTCGCTGGTGGGGTGGTGTGAGAAGCAGAAAAGGCCTTGGCTCTGTGTAAGCACTGCTCAGCAACAACGAAAACATCCCTGTGTTATCATCACTGTTTCCAGCACAAACCCAAAACATAGCCCTATACTAGCTACTATGAAGAAATTTAACTCTATCCCAGCCAAAACCAGCACGCATACAGAAGAGTGTATACAAGCCATACTAGTCATGGTTGCTATTCAAAGCAAGCGGTAACGGTAAACTCACTTTCTACTGACAGCTGCTATGTTAACTCCCAGGCTGATACTGCCACTCAGGCACCTCTCTTCTAATGGATAAATCAAACAACTTAGCAAAGGGGTTTTCTGATACTCTTTTTCTGGTTTATGAAAGTTCACCTGCACTGCAGGATCCCCCAGGAATGCACTGAGTTTCTGCTAAAAGGCCAGCCACACACACTTCAAGTAGCATCTAAATCCCACGTAGCCATCCACAGACTGCAGACAACCATTTTCCAAAAACAAATGATATGGAAAATGGGACCTATTTTGTTCTGCATTATTGAAACCAGAGCCATCCCAGAATCAGAGGTATTTAAAACATTTATTAGCATTAATCACTGGAGGTTAAATAAAACACAAAACCCCTGTATTTTAGGGCAAAAAATATTATTAGGTATGATACAATTAATATGTAAAACAGAAGGTAAAATATTAACAGATTGCAGCATCCCATACATGAAGCGATTGGGTCCAGCCCAGTCAAAGCCCTTATATAAACAAAACAGAGGAAGAGTACTTAGCAGGTGATTTAAAACTGACTCTGGTTTAAAAAACTAATGGTAGCATAGTAAAACATATCATCACTGTACTGAAAAAGTCTGATTACAGTCAGAATGGCTGCGTATCTACTACACACTTATTACCACATGCCATGAAGCATTAGTGAAGACAAGGGATGACAGGTAACTTTTCTAGGTATACATACAGCCCCATTACATTATAGCACTTTAGAGAGACCTGCTGTACCATGAACAAGAACAATCAATTCTTTTTCCCTTTTGATTTTTATTAATGGGGTGTTACTTCATTACTTCTGAGTCCCAATTCTTGAAAAATAATGCCATTTTTTGGATGTTTCAGTCTGCAAGACAAAATTTTTCTGTAATATGCCATTTTCATGCATAAGAATGGCAAGTCAACAACTGTACCTATGTGCATCTCCATCTTCTTGCTACCTTTGATCTGTCACTTTAAGTTCATAAAAGTGAAATGATCATTAACAAAAAAATGTACTTACAGAATACAATGTGCAGGATATGACAACCAGACATAGTGAAAAAACCACTATTATGTCAGCATAACAATATAAAACTGTACTTATATACACACACGCATATGCAGAGCATATATGAAAACTAGTTCCTTCGTAATCTTGTTTTTAAACTAGTTCATGACGAGCCAGAAAAGCACGTCACCCACACTGGACAGTCACAGTCTTGAGTCATGGTGCAAACAGGCTCCACCAAACACCCTTGATAGTGCAGCCCGTGCCTCACTCCTGCTGCCAGTTCTCTAAAGAAAACCAATCTTGGACAAATCCAGCACCAGCTGGCCAACCTAGAACTGCAGTGTTATTATCATTAGTGCTCCTGTACAGTAATATAGTTTTCTCACGAGACACTTAACTACCAAAAGGAATTCCAGTTGCTGCTGAAAGTTTTGACTCCAAGTCTGGGGTTTTCTTGTATGTCATTCTGGCCATTTATGAAGAGTGTTGGTACTTTCCAAACAACACAGGCAACAAAAGGAAGCAAAAATCATCAATTTGACATTTGAAAATCATAATTTTTTAAACAAATGGTCCCCCCATTTGAAGAGGCATGTTAAAGCTGCAGAGGCAACATCATTGTCAAAGCTGAGCCCTGTCTTCAAAGAAAGTGTGAGCTGTTCTGCACAGCTCAGTGGCCTATTATTTTTTTACTTGTGGCTTCAGAGTTGTCTGCTGAAGCTCACCGTAATCCAAATCTCAAGAATTTACACAATCAGAACCCTTCCCCATTTTAGTCTTTTCCTTGACTAAAAGCAAAGTAAGGGGATTTAGATTTGGCCAACCACATTCAGAAATATCTCTCTGCCTACTTAGCCAGCATTAGAATTTTAAAATCTGCCAGATATCCATGCAAGAACCTTCAATTTTAACCTATCTTAAACTATAACTCATAAACCTGTTTGGATTCACACACAGCTCAACGGCAGCTGTGAGAGCTGGTTGTTCAGCACAGTATCCCATGCAGATCAGCATCGATTGCCAGTCCCAGCATAAGTTAGAGTACACAAGGTACTTGCAGCATTGTCTTACAAAGCTTTCAGACATCTCAAGCAGGGTTTAATGAGTTTTGAGATGTCACATCAAAAAGAAAAGAAAGACTAAGCCACAAAGATTTATGAAAGCTTGAAAATGAGTTATGCAGAACTACTATAGGCTGAACTCAGATTTATGACACCTTTAAAAATGGGATTTGATCTCACCTTGTTTTCTCAGTAACAGGTCTAGCCTTTTACTGGGTTTTATTTAGGAAGAACCAGATCTCTTGCAGCACTGGGTCATAGATCCCATAAACTGTATGATTCTGTGACGTTGATAAGCTTAATATTTCTTTAGGGCTGAAGGCCAGGTTAAATTCTTCCTCCACAGCCAGGTGAATGTCCAGGCACCCCGGGAGACCTGCTTATACTAGGATGGGATAAAATGTTCCCTAAAGGAGCTGTCTCCTTCCCCAGCTACCAACAGTGATGACTGCTGAATTTTCACTTGCATAAACCCGGATTATCTGTGAATAGTTGCTGCAATGAAGCAGGGACATGGGTCATTTATCATCACAGGTGACAGCTGAAAGCTCACCTGAAATACCCTTTCTCATGGTAGCTGTCTGAGTCTGTGTGTTATCCCATTTTCAAGTACAAGTGCTTTCAGGAGTCCAAAACATAGAAGAAATGGATTATATGTAAGAAAACAATGCAGTTTAGATTCTTAGATAAAATCAAGTTGGACATTTCCCACCTATAACTGCTTCAAGCCCTCTAAACACAAAGAAACATTCCCCTTGATTTCATCTGGCTCTCCTTCAAGCCCTAATAATTAGTGCCATATTATCAAAGCAATCTCACAACCAAGCAATAAGCTCTGGTTTTATGTATAAACACAGGAACCCAGTTCTAGCCTGCCTGCTTGTGATTTATTGTGGAAACTTGTTTTTCCCTTTTGTTTGCTTTCTGTAAGCTCCCCAACAGAAGTACAGAGAGGTTAATTTTCCTCCTAAGAGAACAAATGAATGTTGTGGAATGCAGGCTGGACTTGGGTTTTGTAGCCTGCATTTCTTACCCTAATTTTGATTTCCAATGAAATTGAAGATAAATTTGGATTTTATCCTCTCAGTCACACATGTGCATAAAAGATGTAAGCGAAGAACACATACAGTTTTACATTATTTCTGGTTCATAACTGGTATCATAACCACCTATTGGATTTTGTTCTTCAACACTGCATTTTCAAGTGTGTCAAGCTCCAAAGGTATCACACAGGAGATCTTCCATAGCACATCCCCATGCGAGTGAAGAGCCTAGTCCAAAAATTCACAGAATTGCATTTGTAAAGAAACATTTTGGTTTGTTTTATTAGATTCCAGCCTTTGACCCCAAATTATATTGTGCTCTCTTAAGCTGTTTTTGTACAGAAATATCATTCTTCCCACATGAAGACTGCTTGGAGTGCAGCAGGGAGACCGCGAGGAGCGAGGCACTGTGGCACCCTCTGTTAGAAACCAAGGATGTGGCGTCTTTGAGCAGAGACAACTTCAGTCTGGGGCACAGATCTGGAGGAAAGCTGGTACACAGTGGAGATTAAGCTGATGTTTAAGAAAGCCCATGCCCTAGAAAGGGACTCACTTCAGGCAAAGCGCAGTGGCTGCATCTGGAGCAGACTGGAACTGCATGGGGTCCAGCAGTCTCTTTCATGACAATTCCTTCTTCCACATACACAGCACCTCCTGACACAGGTTAACGTCTAGTCTGTAAAAACTGCACTTCCTCATCCTTTGGATCCATTTTTGCTCTACTTAGCAAATTCAGTCAATTTCTTGCTGATGTTTACCGAAAGTACAAGATGAAGCTACAGATTTAAAAAAACACTGAAGCAAGGTCCAGCTAGAAAGATGGCAGAGCAACTGTAAGCCAAAATTCAGGGCTTATAGGGGTTTTCTTTCACCCTATTCTTACAAAGAAAACTCTAAAAACATGCAAAGTCCACTCTGCAATGTAAGAAGGTAAGTTTTCGCAGGAAATCTAAATTTTATATATAAAAGGATCTTTTTATTAAAAAAAAAAAAGTCACTGGTTTGAACAGAGCATCAGAGTACTTTGACACTGTAATTTTGACAGGATATTAGAGAGGATTTTCCAACTAGGTTTTGCAAAATCCCTTTGAAGTAAAGCTTTCTGCTTCAGGTCCTTGCATTACTGCTCATGGGAAGTATTGAAATTACTGCTTTCAAGATAAGGAGCCACGTCATTGAGATCACAAAGTCCCTTCTCAGTGAGAAAAGCAAATGGTGCTGTTTTTCAAGTAAATCTAAAGAGATCAGGTTGGGTCAGCAGCACCGCCTACCCGTCTGTGAAGTCTGCTTTCCAAGTTTGATGGCTCCATTGTTAGTATTTTCATGAGGATCTAAGGGTGGAATCTGCCGACCTGAAACAGAAGAGGAGACAATGAATTCAATTTTCCTCATGTAGTAAACAACACATGCAGTAGCAGAATGGTTTAGTTTGCATAAGAATCCCATCTGTCAAACTTCACCAGAAGACAACTGTCTCCTGTGTACCTTGAATATTTTCTCTTGCATCCTGCTTATGAAAAGATTTTTACATTTAAAAACATGTATGAAATATGTCTATTGAGAATGCATGAAATATATTGAAATTATGTTATCTGTGTATTTAAAAATACAGTTATCTTACAACTAAGAAGAATACCCAGCTTTCTCCTAATTGCACCTAAGTGTGAATGGTGCTAGTTTAACAAGATCTTGTCTGCCCTAAATCCGCCTGGCATTTAGTCCCTGACCACAAGTTTTACAAAGCGCAGCAACTAAATGCATGCTGCCTATACTTGAAAAATGAACCTGTTTTGACTGAATGCCTCTGTCCTCTGAGGGGTACCCATGCCTTTCCAGTTGACAGCTTTGATTACCTACCACCCCCTTCCCCACAAACTCTCCTGACTTTTTAATCATCTTATGGGGCAATTATTTTAAGTGTTTTAAAGAATTTCAGCCATTGCAGCAGAGCTAGAGATACCTCCCTGGGGCAGAAGGCACTGGTCCAACTCCCTCCTCTGTGTGTCCTTCTACAACTGCTGCATCTTCATCTAACTGGCTTCCTACTCATGGACAACATACAATGTGCTTGATAAGTAGAATCATAAATGGGAAAGAAGATCCTCCCAGGTCCAGTCTATCTTCTGTCTCTGCTGTGTGCCTGGCTTTTCCATTACACCCATTGTGTGATGTCTCCTCCATCAGTATTTTGGAGTCATGGTAACATAACATACTTCTCATTACCTTGTAGATTTCCTGATGGGTTTTTTTCTGAAGTTTAATCTACTTCCTATGAATTATTCCTGGTTTTACTATTACGCGTGTTAAATAACAAGAATTGAAATATTTAACATTTGTTTGTTACATGCCACTTTCAGGGGGCATAAAGATCCTGTAAACAGCTCATCATAATCCAGGTGGATTTTAGAGTTTAGGTTTCCGCATCCTTTGCTGCTTTTATTCACAGCTCTCTTTTGGCAAATGTTCCATGAATTACGTATCTATGTTGAAGCCCGAGTCCTACAGATTACCTGGGGGAGGAGTTGTGTGAGGGTGAGTTTAAAGCATTCAGGTAAAATCCAAACCCAGTGAAATCAAACCACAACATTTCATCTGTAGAACTTGTCCGTAAATTACCTTTGGTCAAGCCCATCAAAATTTCACCTCTCTCAGTCAGTCTGAACAGGTATGTTATACAACAAACAAAAGCATGCCTTCTGAAGCAGATAATCTTGGCTGTTTGTACAAACTGAATGAGAGGGGGAAAATTCCTCACATTACTAAGCTAAAGATAGTGTATTTGGTCTCACAGAGTGAGAAATGGGTATCTTGAGGGCTGAAGCACGCATAAGCACTGGCACTGCAATGCTGCACCCTATTCAGGTCACTAAAATATCACCTTCACACCTGGCTTACATTCTGTTTGGACTTCACCAACTTACTTTTGTTTGAAAGTGCCCTTCAAAATGAAATTTAAAGCAGAATGAGTGGTTATAGACAGAGCTGCTACATGTATTAGTTCTGCTGGCTTTGTTTGGAGACTAAAGAGAATCCACTAATTATTAAAACTGCAGAGAATAAGACACTACTACCAAGAAGGTAACACCGTTGTCGTAGAGACCTGCAGAGAACTTCTGCATCAGGTACCTACTATTTCCAAAATGCTTTCAACTCAGTCCCAACTACAATAAAACCCCATCATCTGACCCAGAGCACAGTGTAGCCAAACAATTGGAATCTACAGGCACAGTTTCCATAACATACCATCAAGCAAATGCTCTCTAAACACTTGGTTCTTCTAACAGCAAGTTTAGAAGAGGAGAGCTTTAACATGCTAACTAGCTTAAGCCCACATTAAACAACTATATTGCCTCTATTTGTTTTTCATTCAATGTTGCATATTTCTTATGAGTTTCACCTCTTTTCTACAGTACTCTTGATGTGTATGCAAAGAAACATGCTAGCTTATCTTCGGAACAAAATAATTCCAGGCTTCAAGGTCAATGAGCACTTTGTCCAGTTCAGACCAGGACACAATATATACCAGTAAGAATCACCTTGATGTATTTCATTTCTCAAAACAATAAAACCACAGAGATAACAACTACAAATAATAAAGAGGAAAAAAATCTCTAGACATAATATTTGCTGATCAGTTATTCTGGCCTTTGAACTTCAGTACTATTTGTCATTAACTAGTCCTGTTTCTGTTGTTTGGACTCCCCTGGAATTCAATACAAGGAAATAAACATTTAAACAGTGAAAACTCTTCAAGTTTAAGAGTATCTTTTTTAGTAGCTGAGTTTTTTATCATCATTTATGATTTCTTTTATTACCAGATTTATTAAACCCTTAAGCCATTTTGGTTTAGTAACAAGAGTTATCCCTGCCCAAGCAGCTTTTACCACCTGATGAGCAGTTGACAGGAGTAACCCTCTTGGAGTATAAATTCAGTCTAACACCTGAGAACCAGCTCCATAGCAAATGATACAGTGATTTTTCACCAAGGGTCAGGGGAAGCGAATAACAGTAATCAGTCAGAAACCTGTCTGACTGATTGTGTCTCCCTGGGCCTCCTTGACAGCAAGATGCTGTAACACAGAAAGCTTTACACAGCAGCAGAACACTGAAGGTGAGCAGTGAAATGCTGAGCCTGCATCTACACTTCCTGCTTCTAAACCAGCTCAATCAGTATTGCTACCTAAAAGTGCCATGATCATCTGATCTTGTCATTCAGGTCTTGATAAATATAGCATCAATATTGCTGACACCAACTCAAATATAGCTGGCACGGAGTCAGGATCAACAGAGGTCATAAACTGAATTAATTTTAGAAGATATATAAACATTTAAAGTGTGTATCTCACTGGCATACACGGTTCCAGAGCAATAAAAAAATGCCCCTGTATTAGATAACCTACAGCACGGTTATTAATAATTAATCAGTATTATTAAATAATATTAAATATTAATATTGTTAATAATCAGCATGTTATTTCTTTCATGCAGCTGATGTCAGAAAGGAGCAGTAGTGCTCTGACATCCAGCCCTGCAATTCGCCTACTGAAGGAATAAAAAGATTAAGGCAATTCTTCAAACTGAAAACTGCTCTGTTAAGATAGAGTCAGCTCAAAAGATGCATGGGCGATTGAACTCATCTGTTGCTTAACTTGAATATGACAAACTAGACCACAAATAGAGTCTTTTCTCCATTTGGCAGAGCAGGACAGAACAGAACTAGCCAGCTTCTCAAAGGCCGCCAACAGCACATCTTAAGATTCCAGATTAAACAGCCAATCACACAGAGAAAACCAGATCTGCATACATTTACCTAAGAACTCTGCAGGTGAACTGGTTAAATAAGAAACTTAAGGATATACTATTACTGAGACAGCATAAAAGTCCCATATGGTTCCCAATTCTGGTATTTCTATGGAGGAAGACCAGCTGACTGCAATATAAAAATTAGATTTTGCCCTTGTATTTATATCTGATCATATATTTGGGGTTCATTTTGCTAATGTTCGGACCATGCTTCACAGATTTTGTGCAACAGAACTGTCTGTAACCATGCACCTCTACACGTTTGTGCAGAGGTGTTGGTATCCTCCATGATCTCACTGTAGTAAACGCACGATGGTGTGTAAAACAAGGGTCACAAGAGACTGCCCAAATACAGAGTTACAGAAATTGTCATTGTTCTGAAGTGAACTGTCCAGGTTAACAGGTGGGAAGCACTAAATTGATGGCATCTCCTCCTTTCTGGTATGTCTGAATTTGGCTGAGGCAGTCCAGCATGAAGGTCAGGGTCTTCTCCAATGCCTGGTAGAATTCCAACTCCTTCTACTGAATGTGAGATTTGCTGATGTAAAGAGATTAATCAGCACTCTGGGAGTTGCAGTTCTGAGGGTGCCAAAGGCAAAGAGATTGGGAAACAGGAGGATGGGACAAGAGATAAGCAAAATGGGAAGGAATTAAAATGAAAACTGGAGCAGGGAAGCCAGAGAGATACAAGGACTGGGTGACAGCTCTGTGAGCAGAGTTGAAGAAAGGCAGATGGGAATTGTTTTGCTGCAGCTGGAAGCAGGATGCGTCATCACAGTAACAAAATCTGCAGTTTGCTTCTTTTAGAATGTGATGCTCCGGTTACAAGCTGTGGCATCCATTAGCTAAGAAAAATCAGGCTTGGAGTTGAGCTTCTTGATTTAGGTTTGGGGCTTGCGTGAGTGTGTGTGTTTGGGGTTTGTTTGTTTGCTTGTTTGTTGCTTTGTGGGTTGTTTAACATGAAACTAGTTTCATCATTGACCAGTACAAGAGTGCACGAAAGGCTGGGAACAGTCTGAAAGCTGAGCATAAAGGACAAAACCCACCACTGGTTACCATGCTGACAAAGGGACAGATACAACAATGCATTGAACAGATACTCATTTAGGGTGAAAACTGATGTGATGTGATCAACCCAAGCTGGGACACCCAGATAACGAAGTTCAAGTCCAAAAGAAGCACGGTCTTACTAACACAGCTACAACAATTCTGCTAAGGGTCACAGGCAAGACATGACAGTGCTGCATGGTGGCTTTCTGCTCATTTCCCCCATCTGTTCTCTTCCTGAAAATCACATAGAAATTCGTTTTTTTAGGGGCCTGAAGGAAGGGGAGATATTCATTAGTTCAGGATGTGCAATCCATTTCACTCTGCCCTGGAGCAGCAGCCTGGCAGCTCCTACAGCTTAGGTGAACTTCTCTCATGGCTCACCTCAGGAAAGGCAGACTTCTTCAAGTAGTTGTACAACAGCTATACAATGGCAGAACCTGCTCTTACAATTGCTAGCTGTATCACAGCAGGGTTAGCCCCTGTGAAGCATTGCTCTCCA